AGATATGTTATTAGTGTATAAATTACGAGCCTTTTCCCAAACTAAATAACATGTTTGGGATGGACGGAACAAGGGCATCAACTTGGAATCAATGGATCGCCACAGGATACTACATAACTGAGCATCGACCTTCTCCCAAAGTGTTTTGGCCTTTTCATCACCTTCGCTAGCCTTTTTTGTTAAATGATCTTGAACTCCTTGACCTTTACACCACAACTCGACATGCGAAGCCCAAGCTAAGTAGTTTGAACTTCCCATTAAAGGTTCTGAGGTAATCATAACACCGGAACTGCCAGAACCCGGGTTTTTAGACCTGAAAGCATCGACTCCCAAAGACATTGTTGGATTGAAGTGAGGTCTATAAAATTATCACCAAATAACAGAAAGAATCAATTGAAAACTCGCTGAAATAGATGAAAGAGACATTGTTTTTGCCGGAAAATTACTGTAGCTGCCGGAAAAAATCAATGTAGTCACCGGAAAAACTCAAAGTGGTCAGAATTTGGTTTGAACTAGATGGGTAGGCTCGGAATTATGAGGAGAGCAAGCTGTCTTGAAGAAACTTTTTCAAAATCTGACCGGAAGAGGTCACACGCGCCGGCGCGTGTGACAGACGCGCCGCCGGAAGCAGATCTCCAACAGGCGCGTGGGGGCGCGTGGGTGAGTATTTTCCGGTGAATTTTTCAGGAGTTTGGTCGGATCTCTCTTGGGAACCTTTTGGTAGTGTCGGATTTTGCACAATACTTATAATTAGTGACTTTGACGCAATCAGTCACTTAGGTCACCGGAAAATTGCACGGTGACTGAGTTCTTTCTTCCCGAATGTCGCTGGAATGACGCACAACGATCTCTTCTCACCGATGCTCTGATACCATGTGAGAAAGCACGGNCACCTTCCAACAATCCAAACTACCTACTTTGTATTTTCAGGCGTTAATTCTGACATATCTCTACTTAACTCTAGTATAGTACACTATTGGAGTATCATATCTCTATGCTTGTCAAGGGAGTCATCTTAATTCAGACAATTGGGAGTTAGTTTGAACATGGTGACTGGCAAATCCTGTAGTTTTTTCTTAGGGCTTGCTATGTAACATTGGTGAAACTATTGAACTCTATTTCTGAAAATATTAACTAAAATATGCCAATTCGTCCTGAACGATGAAAGTTTATTTGAAGATTAAGTAGTCTGAACAAATATGTTGGATGTGTTTTACCAGGTGATTTTGGGACTATGATAGTCCGAGATGGAACTGATGTGGATAAGACAGCTAGTCACATCAGAAATGCAGAAGTATCATCTACTCTCCAGCGTGCTGGAAGTCCTTCCATCCCCACTGTTGCTGGCAAATCAAATGTTCCCTGGTATTTTTTCCCCCTGTTAATCTGATTATTGACTTGTTTATTGCGAAGGTGAAACCTATTAAATCGGAAAAGTAATTCATCCTTGTCACTTAAATTCACTCTTAGAAACTTTTTTGCTGGTCATGTCTTCTCTCATAGGTGATCTTGGTACTAAATAGCAGACTGATAAGTTCTATTAAGTATCAACTTTATGTACAGTTTGATCTTGGCATTACTTTGAAGTTTGAACCGTGGATCTTGGTTCTCTTGGTTATGGCTGTCTTCTTTCTTTCACCTATACTACTAATAAAGCCCCACCTCTTATAGTAACTAGCTTGGTCTCTAGGTGGCTATGTCGTTTCAACTGTTTATAAACCAGATTGCCTCCATGGTCTTACTCCTAACTCCAAACTACGATCAACGGATCAACAGTAAAGTAAAAGTAAACTTGCAGACAGAGAGAGAAAAGAGAGTATCTTTTTAGTGGTAATGCATTCGAGTAGCCCATTTCTTAAAAAATGTACACTTCTTGTCAGGTTGCTCAATGACGTTGATGTCAGTTCACCCGTTGGAATGTCCCAACTACAGAACATGCAAGTGTCTTCTCCTGGAACCTTCCCTTCTCCTGACCCGGGCCTAAAGGGAAGTACTACATCTCAAGCAACTGTTAGTAGTGGTGGCTATAATACTGGAACCTTAAAAAGCGAAACTGTCAGTCGGAAAGCATTGGACAAGGTACTCTAATTGCTCTGTCATGAAATCTGCAATGATGAAAGTGTGAAATCTCTTTCAATTTCTACCCTATCCCATAATGCGAGGAATGTGTTCTGTGCTATACCCTTAAGTTACCGAATTGTCAACTCAGGAAGTGGTTCAATTTCATGGAAAAACTATCTAAACCACCAGTAATCGGACAACAACAACAAACCAGTGAGTTCCCACGAGTGGGCAGTAATCGGACTAATTCTCCCAAAGCACTACGGAAAATTTTGATCGACATATATATTCAGACGTTTCATCACAAGTGATCCTACATCTGTAGATTCTTTTTTTTTTTTCCTTTTATTTGAAAGTGGCAACAATATTAACATCTGTAGATTCTTAATTACATAAGCAGAGAGAAAGACACAGGATGAACTTATAGCTACGAGTTTGAGGTTTCACACTTTAAGTTTTAGTTTGCACTGTAGTATTAGGCCATTTCCATTATTCGTTGAGCCATATCTCCTTAAAGTAACATGTTGCATCTGAAACACATTCTTTACCTCTTCGAGCTCTGTCCAAGTAGTAAATTAATCATAGCTCTGTTATGCTGGGCTTACTTCTGAGGTTAGGCTTGTCGGTACTGTAAGTCACTGTGAGTTTTCAAGATTTTCTTTCAATGTAGAAAGACATCCTCCCAATAGCTATATTCAGAGGCGGATCCAAAATTTTCACCAAGGGGTGTCAAAATATTAATAATTAGATACATCGAAAAGTCAAGGGGAGTCGACATACAGTAAATCTACATAAAATAAAAAAATCTATCTAGCGATATATTGTAATTTCCGGCAAAGGGGTGTCGCTTGACACCCCTTGGTTCAATGTGGCTCCGCCACTGGCTATATTTCTAGCTTTGTGTTTATTTATATGCATCTCTTGCAAAGTGTTTTCATGAGGTGAAACTGCCTTTCCATCGACACTAACCACTACTTTTCCTTGTTATAAGATCTTGCTTTTGGCTGTCACTGCATTACTTTATTTTTCTTTGTTCAACGGGTGCAAGTATGATTCTGACTCCTGCTAATTTGTGCATATACCAGCTTTGGTCCATATACTCGGCTGGTAACACGGTGCCAATCCCATTTCTGAGAGCAACCGACATATCACCAATAGCACTCTTGTCTGACGATGTGCTTGGGGACTGGCAAAGGGATAATAGTGGAAAGATTGCTGTAGAAGCAATGCAGGAACTATTCTCCGGTGATTCTCAATCCAAGAAGGGCCGAAGCAGACAAAATGAGGTCCTCTTTACCTCCTCCTTACAAAGACCTTTATTCTGGGCCTTTCTTTTTACCTTCTAAAAAAAGGATAGCCCGGTGCACAAAGTATCCCGCGTTGTCGCAGTGTTCGGGGAAGTGCCGCAACCTAGGGGAATGATGTAGACAACCTACCCTAATGCAAGCATTAGTGGCTGCTTCCACGGCTCCTTTCTTTTTAGCTTCTCTCCTTTTATACTCATTATTATTAGTTGATGGATTGCAGGTTCCCCTTCCTCCAAGTGTGTACCAGAGACTAACCTCGAGTCCTACACTAATGAATCTTGCTCAGGCCTTAGCATATCATAAGATGTATGATCATATTATCCTTGGACAGTAATTTATTCAAATATTATCTTTTCATGCAACTCACTATTTTTTTGATGAAGTCCATTTGACTCACTACTATGTCTGTGTCCTTGGTTTTATTATAACTTGAATATTAGTAATTTATTAATTTAATAGGAAAAAATCTCAAGACATGTTGTGTTTCATCATTTTCTCTCCTTGGTGATGCCCAAATGAATCGATGATATCATTTTTTGAATGTAGGTGCTATGAAGAGATGCCTCTTCAGGAAATGCAAGCATCTCAGGAACAACAAACGATTCAGAACCTCTGTGATACACTCAGAACTATTTTACGATTGTAAATAATTCTTGTTCTTAGTTGAAACCGTAAGATTTTCTTCACCGTGTAAATGTAGTCATATGTGCATTTCTTATCTCCTAAATCTTGGGGTAGTTTTCTCTCTTCAGCTCCAGACCAAGCATGCATAAATGCTGCTTTCCTTTCATTTCTGTTTTGTTTTTTCTTCTTCTTTTTCTTGTGGGCGGGGGGGTTGTTCTTTTTCAGATTATTTTGCAGCGAGCACAAAATGGATCCTATGATGTTTTGTACTTACCTTGTTTATATGAGCGAATTTGTCTTATATTTCATACCACTGTTTGAGCTCTTATTTTACTTCCAGAAATGGAACTAAAAATTGAATAATTCACTTCAACTTGATTAGCATTCTGTAGAATTTCGACAGTTCAAGTACGTTGTTATTTCAATCTTCCTCCTTTTGGCCCGAGTAATTGGGTAAAATTTACAAATAGCCACTTTGCAGCCTCTATGATTGAAACATAGACGTGTCGTGGAGTTTTATATTCTACGTGTGAAATTTCATGACATTGTCATGGAATTTAAACCAGCGGATTCAGAATTTGCACCTTGCGAGTTAGGGATAACATTGAACCCAATGTTCATTTGAGTTCATGACTTCGAAATTTGATATTTATATAATGTTTAGTAAATTTTTTTACACATATACAAGGACAAAGCAAAAATTATTGAGTTTAACTGAACTCATAACTTATACTATGAATATTTATTCCAAAAATATAAATGTAAGTTCTTTTTAAAATTTCGATATGGTGAATGTGTTGGTTCATTATTTAAAAAATAATTACAAGTTTGTGCATATTTGAACGAGAATACCTTACCCAATTCTCTTTCTCCCTATTTCAAGCAATTTCAGAATTTAACAATTGAATTTAGCCGCGGGCGGAAACTTGTAGAATGCAATTTAAGGGAAATTGCATAAGTCGCATTTAGTGGGAAAAAAGATAAAAGACATTTAAGAATTTATAAGTCGCATTCTCAATAAGCGACTTATGTAAAGAGTGCCGCAGCAGAACAAAACCAGAGCTCCACTCTCAGTTTGCGACTTTCGGCTGCTCAAAGGATGGTGAGAAGTAAACTGAGTAGCAAAATCAGCCATTTCTTGCGAAACCCTTTATTCTCTACACCTCTCCGTCACCATCACCATCGTTTTCCAACAATACTGCAACCAAAACAAAGCCTTCACAATCTTTGTAATGTTTTGCAAAATGGTGTTCCTTTTAATAAACACATCTCGGTTTCAGCTCTTCGGTACTTGAGCACTAATTCTTTAGAAGAAATAACGCCAGATAGAAATGGAAACGACTCACTTCACTGTATGCTCTCTTGTTTCATTTTTTTTGGTGTTTCTCTATTTAGTTGCTCCTTAGGTGTTTGATATCTTGTTTATGTAGTGCTTTAAATTCTAGTTGCTTATTCTTGATGTTGTGGTGATACTTGCTTGTTATTTCAATGTAGAAACAATGATGAAGATATCGGATATATATGCCAAGCGTGCCCTAGTTGTGCTTGAATTTTGTTTTCAAGAAAACTAAGTTATGACTTACCCATATGAATGTTAATACCTTTTTTGTTAGGGATTAGAAAGATGGTTTTTTTTATTTATGACGGTGGTGTCTTGGCCAGCTTGTGCGCACCTCGACTATTCCACCAAGTACTTGCTACTTCCCACCGGCACAGGTACCGGATAACTCTATCCACTAAGTCTTAGGCAGATGGGAAGTAATCACTTAGTATTTTTTTGCCTCCACTGAGATTTGAACCGGAAAGGTGGTTCTCCTCCCACCCCTAGGCCACACGTTTGGATGAAAAAATGCATCCATTTTGTTATGCTTATATTGTTATTTTAGTGAAGCAACAAATGAATATGTTGACGAGAAGTGGCGAAGCTAGGAATTTATACAAGGAGATTCAAGGAAATACTAGAATGTGACATTTAAGATTTGATCTTGTGACCTAAAGCAATTTTAACCCCCTTAAATACTAAAGTAGAATTTTTACTTATGTCAAGGGGATTCAACAACTTAAATATATCGGGAACAAAATGTTTTTACCTTGTTTACGTGGTATAGTTTTTCAACAAAGGGGAGAATTGAACCCGCTTCCCTCCACCTAGTTCTTCCATTGAGGCTGCTGAAGTGGTAGAGTACCTCCATCCCCAATTGGTAGATTGGAGGTTTGATTTGTGTGGAAATTAATTTGTAAACATTATTTATCCTCCCTATCGGGAGGTAAATGAATTGGAAATGTTCATCGACTTTGAGAAATATAAGGGTGTTCGCTCTTTACTTTTTCCACATTCTCATTCAATTAAATTTAGTGAAATTTTATCAAATTCGTCAATTTCTGTTCTCTCACACAGTCACATTTTGTGTGTTTATGTTTGAAGATGAAACGATTGAGGACGTAGAACCAATAGATTTATGGGAAGAAGAAGACGAGGACGCTAAGCCTGAGGTACGTGATCTTTTCGAGTTATACAAATCAATTTTATTCTTTTCGTTCATCTTTTTTGGCATGTATGTTTATGTTGATTTTAGCAGTTCAAATGTTTAGATCGGTGATGGAGGTGATGGTGGAGGAATTGTCTTGCAAAGTTGCCCTTGGGGTGAGCAAGCATTATCCCTTGCCCATGATGTGCTACTACAGTTTGGTGATGAGATGAAGCTCTATGCATTCAAAACTAGTCCTCGCGGATACATCTATGTGAGAATTGACAAACTTCCAAACGAGTAAGTTGCTGATTGCAACACAGGCTTCTTGTCTATATCTGTATCTCTTCCAGAAATGAAGTAGAGCATGTTTTTCTTGTGTTTGATCTTTAAACTTCAGATTCTAAAAAAAGAACAATGATACAATCTGTCCTCCAGATTGATGTCACTATTAAGTACAACCCTCTGTCCCACTTGATGAAGTTTGGATGGGTACATAATGTAGGGAAATAACACGAAAAAATAATAATAATACTGCAATAATATTATTTGTAAGCGTATACACGGATTGGCTTGAGTCGTGCTAGACACTGTCCTAAGAAACTATTTCAGCAATATGAAATGTCTTCCCAGGATTAAACAAGCCTACCACTATTTTTGAGGATATAGGAATCAGCAAAATATTAAATTACAAACCCAGCTAGTAAAAAAAAGAAATAAGAAAGGAAACAACTAATATTTAATAGTAGACAACAAAGAAAGAAGAGAGGCGTAGAATGAATGTTTCTTCTGTGTTAGAGATGTGCTGAAGGAAGTACCTTTTATAGGCAACAAGCTGAAAGCTTTTCTTGCCATTTGTCAAGCTTAGTTGTCAAAAATGTTGCATGCATCTTGCTAGAATATGGTATCAATTGCCACTCTTTTTTGTTTATAGGACACATGGATATAATAAGCTATTTGTCCATATTAGCTTTGAAATGCTACCACACTTCCCCACTATTTCAAAAGTTTATAACAAAAGGTTGGGGCCAAAATTGTAGGGAAATAACACGGGAAAATAACAATAATACTGCAATAATATTATTTGTAAGCGGATACACGAATTCGCTTGAGTCGTGCTAAGCACTGTACTAAGAAACTATTTCAGCAGTGTGAAATGTCTCCTCAAGATTAAACAAGCTTACCTCTATTTTTGAGGATACAAGAATTAGCAAAATATTAAATTACAAACCCAACTAGTAGGAAAATGAAATAAGAAAGGAAACAACTAATATTTAATAGTAGACAACAAAGAAAGAAGAGTTTGTGGCTCTAGAGTTAGTTGGTTCTGAGGCTGAGTGGCTATGGAACTTCTTAGCTAATATTCTTTTAATAAAGGACGTATTGCATCATGTGTCTATGCATTGTGATTGTCAAGTGGCAATAGCTATTGCCAAGAATAAATCTTATAACTGTAAAAGTAGACACATGAAATTGAGACATGATGTCATAAAACAGCTATTGAGAGATGGAATAATTTCCATTGACTTTGTGAAGTCAGAGATAAATTTGGCTGATCCTCTGACTAAACCAGTGGGAAGAAAATTTATTCTTCAAACCTCAAAAGAGATGGGGTTAAGGCCGACACGTTGTCAATAGAGATGGTAACCCAACCTATGTGATTGGAGATCCCATGAAGTAGGTTCATATGGGTAATAACAAGTCGATATTGACACTGAAGCACTAAAATAGAGTGCTTGACTGCTAATAATTGAGAGATTGAGTTATAACTCTTAATGAATTCATATTCCTTATGGATGATGTATTTAAAAGCAGTATACACTTGATGAATTCACCTATATGAGAGTGAAGTGGGGCCGCTCCTTTGAGATTTTGGCCTAGTCTCTAGACCTCTCATAAATAACCAGGCACGCGCATGGCCTAATGGCGCAAAATCGCGTTGAACAGCAAAATTGCGAGGGTCGAAATGTGATTGATAAAATCTCTAGCTTACAATAAGAATTATTGGTTCATAGAAATATTATATTTCACCAGCAATTCGATTGTAGGGAAATAACACGGGAAAATAACAATAATACTGAAATAATATTATTTGTAAGCGGATACACGGATTGGTTTGAGTCGTGCTGCACTGTCATAAAAAACTATTTCAGCAGTGTGAAATGTCTCCCCAAGATTAAACAAGCCTACCTCTATTTTTGAGGATACAGAAATCAGTAAAATATTAAATTACAAACCCAGCTAGTAGGAAAAGGAAATAAGAATGGAAACAACTAATATTCAATAGTAAACAACAAAGAAAGAAGAGAGGCGTAGAAGTAAATGAAAGAATGGATGTTTCTATGGTAATAATTTAAAGCTTTTGTTGACAAATGTCATAATCAAAACCATGTGACATCTCTTCGAGAAGCCATTAGAAAAATGGCAAAATGCCTTGGTAAAGTGGCAAATTTCATCTGCCACGTTTTTGCCATGCAAAACAAAGCTTCATGCAAATGAGGCTATAAATAGCCACTGTCAACATTTCCTTTTCGTTATTAGCAATTAGCAAGACAAAAAAAATTCTTCTATCTTCTTTCCCTCTTATACATCCTTCCCCTTCTAATATCTTTTTCTATATATTTTAATTGACATAAGATATTAGTTGCTCTTTCTCTTCCAACTAGCCGAGTTTGTAATTTTAATATTTTGCTGATTTCTGTATCCTCTAAATAAAATAGAGGTAAGCTTGTTTAATCCTGGGGAAACATTTCACATTGTTGAAATAGTTTCTTAGATTGTAGGGAAATAACCTAGAGCATTAAATGCATCATCTTTATTTCTAAGCAACTACAACTTAGTAAATCTAGAATGATCATCAATAAAAGTCACATAATATTTTTTACCACCTCTAGTCATAGTCTGCTTTAAATCGCCTAAATCAGTGTGAATCAAGAATAATAATTCAGTTTCTCTATTTATAGAAAAACAAGTCTTTTTAGTACTTTTAGCTTCAACACATATTTCACACTTGTGTATATGGTTTGAGTCTAAACTATATATTAAACCTAATGATTGCATTTTTCTTATATATGCGATATTAACATGTCCTAATCTAGCATGCCATAAAGAAATAGACTCAACTATATAAGCAAAAGCAGATGCATTTCTATTGATAACATCAGAAATGTTAAGTACAAAGAGTCCCTGGTTACAATAGCCCTTTCCGACAAACACATTATTTTTGGTCATTATAATCTTATTAGATTCAAATGACACTTTCACTCCGACTTTTCCCAACAAGGCAACATAGATCAAGTTTGCCCTCATAGTAGGAACATGCAGTACGTCAACAAGAGCTTTATATTTATTTAAAAATCCATCAGGATTAAATTTCCTTTTGAAAATCTATTTACAACCAATAGGCTTTGCACCAGGAGGTAAATCAGTTAAAATTCGTGTATTATTTTTCATAATAGAATCAATTTCAATTTTATTGCCTCTTGTGCCTATGCATTGTGATTGTCAAGCGGCAATAGCTATTGCAAAGAATAAATCTTATAATTGTACAAGTAGACACATGAAATTGAGACACGATGTCATAAAACAATTGTTGAGAGATGGAATAATTTCCATTGACTATGTGAAGTCAGAGAAAAATTTGGCCAATCCTCTGACTAAACCAGTGGGAAGAAAATTTATTCTTCTAACCTCAAAAGAGATGGGGTTAAGGCCGACATGTTGTCAATAGAGATGGAAATAACACGGGCAAAATAACAATAACACTGCTATAATATTATTTGTAAGCAGATACACGAATTGGCTTGAGTCGTGCTGGGCATTGTCCTATGAAACTATTTCATTAGTGTGAAATGTTTTCCCAGGATTAAATAAGCCTGCCTCTATTTTATTTAGAGGATACAGGAATCAACAAAATATTAAATTACAAACCCAACTAGTTGGAAGAGAAAGAGCAACTAATATCTTATGCCAATTAAAATATATAGAATTAGATATTAGAAGGAGAAGGATGTATAAGAGGGAAAGAAATAAAAGTATATCTTTTGTCTTGCTAATAATGAAAAGGAGAGGTTGACAATGACTATTTATAGCCTCATTTGCATGAAGCTTTGTTTTGCACGACAAAAACATGGCAGATGGAATTTGCCACTTTACAAGGGCATTTTGCCATCTTTCTAGTGACTTCTAGAAGAGATGCCACATGTTTTTGATTATGACATTTGTCAACAAAGGCTTTAAAATATTACCACATTAATTTTTCCTTTCCCAAAAACGCTGTTTGTTCTTGAGTCACCAAAATAAATAGTTTCTTCTCCTCTTCAACTTGGATGTAAGAAAAAATTCATTTTTGCTTGCACAAATGTGCCTAGTAGCACCAGAGTCTATCACCCAATCTCTCACATTGGTCACATCATTTATTTGGAATATGACCGCAGCTATATTATCTGCTTTAGTCAAATTTAATTTTGACTTAGCGAGATTGTCATTTATCTCAACTTTTCTCTTGCATTGAGGTGCATTTTTCTTGAAGGTTTTAATATTAGCATTGGATATGTAACCACGTCTATTTACATACCTATATTTTGACATTAGTGTCTGTCAAAGTTGTGGATGCAATAACGTAGTTGCAACATCATGGATATATGGCAGGTCAACTGGAACAGTAGCAGCGTGTACAACACCAAAATTGGTAGCACCATCAACGATTTCCGTAGTGGTATTACTTGCCGTAGTTTCTTAGATTGTAGGAAAATAACACGGAAAAATAACAATAATACTGCAATAATATTTTTTGTTTCAACAGGTGTATGAGAAATTTTATCAGACAGTGGATAAATATATTCAAAAAACTCAGCATTCTTTGTATCAATTATAATATTGCAATCAAACACATCACTTTTTAAAACAAAAAATCTATATGCAACACTATGTTCAGCATATCCAATAAGCATACAATCAATGGTTTTAGAACCTATTTTTTTTTCTTTTTAGGTTCAGGTAAAAGTGTGACAGTATTTCAAAGCTAATATGGACAAATGACTTATTTTGTCCATGTGTTCTACAAACAACAAAGAGTGGCAATTGATATCATGTTCTGGCAAGATGTATGCAATATTTTTGACAACTAAGCTTGACAAATGACAAGAAAAGCTTTTAGCTTGTTGCCTATAAAAAGGACTTCCTTCAGCAAATCCCAACATAGAATAAACATCCATTCTTTCATTTACTTTTACGCCTCTCTTCTTTCTTTGTTATCTACTATTAAATATTAGTTGTTTCCTTTCTTATTTCCTTTTCCTACTAGTTGGGTTTGTAATTTAATATTTTGCTGATTTCTGTATCCTCAAAAATAGAGGTAGGCTTGTTTAATTCTGGAGAGAGATTTCACATTGCTGAAATAGTTTCTTAGGACAGTGCCTAGCACGACTCAAGCCAATCCGTGTATCCGCTTATAAATAATGTTATTGCAATATTATTGTTATTTTTCCGTGTAATTTCCCCATGTTATTAGAAGTTGAATTGTTTCAACAATTTGTTTTTTGGTAAAAGTGCGAATACTGTGAAATATTGATGTAGGGGTGTGTTTCATTACTCTAGTGTAGATTCACGCATAGGTTATTGATCTTAAAGTTGAGTAGGTGGAATTCTATTATTTTCTGTTAACACTTTAAGAAATGGAAATCAGGTTAGAATTGAAGAGGTGAAAACCAGAAAAAGGAAAAAAGAAGAAAATCAGATGGCCGAAATGAGCATTAATGTCACAGAAGCAGCTTTCAATAGGTACAAGAAGTTCTATTAAAAGTTTCATGACTTATTTTAAAATTTTAAAACATATAGAGAGATTTGGTAAGGTCCTGGAGTATAATATATTGTTATTACTATTATTTGCTACTTGTTGCTTTATCTTCGATGTTCCTTGAGCCGAGGGTCTATCGGAAACCACTTCTCTATCTTTATAAGGTATGGGTAAGGTTTGCCTACCCTCCCCAGACCCCATTTATGGGAATACACTGGGTTTGTTATTGTTGTATTATAATCTGTGCAAACATGTCCAACATTTTGGATGTTCCAAAATAAAGCTAGCGTTTGGACATAAATTTAGTTGAAACTTGAAAAAATAATTTTTGAAGTAGTTTTGAAAAATAATTTTTGGAAGTTGAAATTATGTTTGGACATGCATTTTATTTGAAAAAAATTTGAAGTTTTGTGAGTGGGAGAAAAGTTTCACCCAAAATCTACCTTAAACTAGATTTTGGGAACTTGAAAAGTAATTTCAAAAATAGATCATTAATCTATGAACAAACAATGTTTTCAAAAAAGATTTGAAAAAACGTTGTCAAAATGTATGGCCAAACGGGGATGTGTGCTGTTCAAGTTAAACAATCTCTAATGAACTGAAATCTGAGTGCATACTTGTAGTAGTTTCACTTGGTTATTCTACGCAAGTTCTTTTGATATGCTGTTGCTGGTGGTAGTGTAGATTGTAACATACTCTTTGCATCAGATATGGCTGTCCGAGTATGGATGAGATGGAAGAATTTAGCCGCCAATACAAGAAAATGTTAGACGAAGCTGGTGCACTAGGGAAAATTCCTGATGATCTCGCCCTTGAGGTAACTGTTAAAACTGTAGCTGTCTTCTCTTTCTGTAAAAAATTGACAATGGCCATGGGAGTATTGATCTTTGAAATAAACATTAGCTCTTTCCTGTGATCCTAAGGTATCATCTCCTGGTGCTGAGAGGCTACTAAAAGTACCAGATGACTTATCCCGCTTCAAGGACATGCCTATGAGAGTTAGCTATATCGAAGAAATGAACTCGAGAAACCTTGAAAAGGACGGAATATTCTTCTTAGAATCTGTTGATGCAGAATTAGGAAGCTGTATGTGGAAGTTGGCAGATGTGAAGGAGAATAGAGATCCAGCGGCCAAAGGAAGGCCTCTAAGCCGTAAACAGAAAGATTGGAGGTTAAGACTGCCTTATGCAATGGTTAAGAGAGTAACTTTGTACCTTGATTATTGAATTCTGTCTAATTGCGTAGAACTCAAGATGTTGATGTATATGCTGTTGCTTTATACACACTAAAGATTTTGACATAAAATTTTGATGATATTGTCTGTGTCCCTGAGGAGGCTCCTAAGTTCTTATCACAATTCCTTTGGGTTAAGATACCACCCAGAATCTGATCAATGTGAAGAATAACTCAACTTCTGCTGGAGTTTTTGTTTTTCTTTTTTGAGTTTTTCCTTCTACATTACTTAATAGAGTCGTCTGTCTACATTATGCTATGGCTGTTTTCCTTCTCTATTTTTTTGGGCAAGTTACATATTTGGACGCCAAGCCAAAAATGCGTGCATCCATTAGGAATTGAACCTACGAATTCGCAGATTATGAGTTGGGCGCTTTAACCATTCAGCCATAGATGCTAGATCCTCGTACATGGTGAATAACCAAATTCCAATTGAAATGAAATATTTAGGATAAATCAATGCAGTTTAGGAGAAATCAATGAGAGGACATCAATTCAAATCCTGGATTTTCGAATTGAGAGATATTGAGAGAGATCAAGAAAACATGGGTTTGATTCACATTTCATGTTCTGAGAAAGATTTATCATCCGAAAAGAGGAAAACGGAGTCTTTGTCTAAAGAAATGCGTTGAGAAAGGGCAGATGTATAGAACCTTTCAACAAGATAGTGCTTTTTCAACTCTCTCAAAATGGAATNATAGAACCTTTCAACGAGATAGTGCTTTTTCATCTCTCTCAAAATGGAATTTATTCCAAACATATATGCCATGGTTCCTTACTTTGATAGGGTACAAATATTTAAATTTGATATTTTTAGATACTTTTTGAGACCTATTGTCAATACTAAGTAGCAGTCAAAAATTTGTATCCATTTTTCATGATATTATGCATGGATCAGGTATATCATGGCGAATTCTTCAGAAAAAATTGTGTCTTCCATAATGGAATCTGATAAGTGAGATCTCGAGTAAGTGTTTACATAATCTTCTTCTGTCCTAAGAAATGATTCATCGAAATAATGAGTCACCATTGATATCGCCACATCTGAGATAGCCAAATGCTCGGGAGTTCCTCTATTCAGTCCTTTTCCTTCTTGTTGTTGGATATCTCGTTCGTACACATCTTCTCTTTGCTTCTCGGGCCTCTAGTGAGTTACAAACAGAGGATTCTGTATGTTTTCTGGGTTTGAAAAAGTGGGGATTTTCAAGAACAAGAATCATATGATATGTTGGGAATCTCTTTATGATAATCATCCACGTTTGAAACGTATCTTATATTCGCTAACCAAATATACAAAATATATGTATAAAATATGTATATTATATATTAATATATAAAAAATACATTTTGCCGGCTATTATTTTTGGCAGTGGCTATACTGTGTAGTTTTTCCCTTTTTTTCCCTTCTTATTTCCTTATTATTGCTTTATTATTCTTACTTTTATAAATGCTTGTATTGATCTCGAGAAAAATTATGAGAGAGAAAATTAAACTTCACACTCTCAAATGTTTGACCTTTTCAATTCTCCTTTCCATAGTTCCCGTAGAACTTATACCACTAAGTTTTAGAGAACTGTATAAGTTTAGCCGCTCTTAAAAATAATAGCCGAAAAGATATATTTTTTTTGCATATATATGCATTATATACATATAATATACATATTTTTTGTACACTTTTTGACTAGTAAATGTAATTAGTTTCGACTGACCGGCCAATTTGTACTTCGCCCTAAGTTTTACGACTTGTACTAGCTCTACTAAAAATAGTGTATTGGGCAAATGGTTTAAAGGCTAAATTTGGCCCATGAATGATAAGTGGAGACCAAACGTCTCTCAGTCAGTTGTCCAAAATATTTAGAAAAGGAAGAACAGGAATATGAAGGGGAAAAAGAAAATATTCAGATAAAACAAAAAATCAAAATCAAAACCAAAGATAGAGGAAATGTCCATATTTAGAAAGTAGGTATATTAGCTAAGGACTAAGCAGCTAGAAAACCGTAGAATATTGGTCCACAAGCCAACAAGTTATTTATTCTCAATCCTTTCAAATTAAATAGACCTTTCTTTTATTAGGTACCCAACCTATCACTCTAATTTAAAGAAAAGTTCTAAGTTATATACACGTCAATCAATGTACAAATTTTTTTATACTATCCGGACACTTTAACCTAATATAATAGTAGGTAATTTGCCTTAATTTTTAGATTACGAACTCACTTTTTATGGAGATTTAAGTTACAATTTATTGATTAATATTTTATTTTACGATAGTATTAATATTTCGCGAAAAGAATCTTCTCACCCTATTCACATGCCTTTTCCAAAAAATTGAAGAAAAAAAAAGGGAAAGAAGATTATGAAGAGAACGAAAACTAAAGAGGACCACATAATTTGGATTGTTGAGCCGCATTTGATTCAAAAATATCTCACAAATGCTCAACCACCAATACCTTTCATTTCTTGGACTTGTCTACCATTCTCATTCAATTCTTTTCTTACTTATCTTTCTATTTTGTCAATCAATTTCTTTCATAAAGAACAAAAACGTGAATAGTATGAAAAAAAATATGTGGACGAAAAGACTTTTGTTAATCCTAACTGAAATAAAACGTGAAGTTTCATCGATTATGTTAGTTGTCGGCAGAGGCGGACCCAAAATTTCAAGGTAGGTGGGGCGGGCACATGAGCGAACTGCTCAACCAGTAGTCCAATCGAACTTTTGATCTTAATGGTTCCAAGCAAAATATTTGACCGTCTTCAACATATCTACACTTATATATTTAGAATTATTACCGAAGTTAATGGGGCTCGATAACCCTTTTCTTCAAGCATAAATAAGCCTCTAGCCGCAGGTTAATGATGAAAATAGGAAACAACAACAACAATAACCCAGTAGAATCCCATTCGTGGGATCTGGAAAGGGTAGAGTGTACGCAGACCTTATCTCTGTCGTGGAGGGATAGAGAGGTTGTTTTCGGAAGACCCTTCGCTAAAAAAAAGACAATAAATCCATAACAACAATAGAAACCATAAAAATAATATCAGGATTATAAAAATAGGAAAATAAATCAAATTTAGGTATCTTTAATGTAAGGATTATAGTTGCCAAATCACTGATTGATACAAGACCTAGAAATTCTTTTATTAGGGAACTATTCGGATCCTCCAGCCTTCAATTAGAGATATCGGGTTTGAATTCGAACTTTGGGAATGAAAAATCTTTTGGCAGAAAGCGTTTTACCTACTACAACTTATCTAGTGTGGATTCAAATTAGTCGGGCCAGTAAATTTTAAATACCGGACAATTTAAAAAATGAAATGAAAGGACAATTATGGATTAGATAGGAAAAATCTAAAAGAGGAGAAGCATGCTTGCCTAAGTTAAAGAAAAAAACAACTATTAGAAGGGGCCATTTATGGACCCCTACAATTGATTTGAGTTCCCAAATCCAAGTGAAAAAACAATATACGCAATACCTTATTCTTCATTAGTTGTAACAAAGGAAAAATAATGTTTATCTCTGTAAAATCAAAAAAGGAAACTTTGATTAATACTTATCTCTGCAAAATGTTCAACCTAAAAATAGCAGGGATTTTAATTGGTATTTTGTGGGGTTTTCCAATTAGGATTGAAATCTTTTATAATTTTGGAGTCTTTTAACTTCTTGATTTGGCATTTCACTAATTCTTTCTAAATGTAGTAATCTTTTATAATACAATATTCACTCTCTTGGCACTATATTCCATTATGTCTAACTACCACTCTAATAATACTCCCTCTATATCAAATTATCTATCGTAATTTTTAAAAACAGTTGTCTCAAATTATTTTTTATTTTAGAAGTTCAAGATAAATTTAATTATTTTTTTCTATTTTATCCTTAGTAGTAATTGTTCTTGAAGACTACAAACACGTTAATTATGGAGTAATATTATGATTATTCAAATACCAATAAGAAATAAATAAGGGTAAAATAGCTCATAATTATTATTTTCTTAAATGACGTCTAAAACAAAAATACGACGTATAATTTGACACGGATGAAGTAGCTAATTAAGCACGAAGTGGAGGGGAAATTGACATTTCTTGGAATAGGAAGAAATGAAGAAAATATATAAAATATAAAGTTGGAGGAAGAATTTATTTTTCAGACAAAGCAGAAAGGAGAAATGATTTTCACCCTTTTCATAATTGATCTCAACATAATTTAAGGAATATGACTTTATGACCATTAAAAATGAAGTAGTACTCCTTCCGGTCCAACATAAGTAATTTTTTGGCTTTTCTTTGTGGTCCAGAATAAGTAATTTTTTCATATTTCAAAAATAAATTAATTATTTTTTCCTACATTATCCTTGGTGTTGGAGTATGTGTTAGGAGTGTTTATGTGAAGAGATATTAAAGGTTAATATGGTCAATTTCGTTGCTAATTAATGTTAAAAGGTAGAATTCTTAATCTATGTGAAAACGGCTAAAAATCACTTATTGAAGAAGTAGTGTGTTTTTGCTTTTTTTTCATTAACTAATTAAATAAATGGCAAGTGAGATATAAAGTTCTAATGATTTAAATATGAACCAGAAGTTCAAAGGTAAAATTAAATAAGTCAGTTGCACTCATTGTAATTGATGGTCCAAAATCAATTGAACAAAAAGTTGACATTAAAGATGAACCTAAAAATTTCTTCACAATGATGTCATAGTAGAAAACTTGCAAATAGGGCAACTAAATTGGGTAGGATGTGTTGATTTATTATAGTGTGGGGTTTCTAATTACTAGTTGAGAAACTTGATTTATCTATTATCATTAAGTACTCATTCCCCGAATTATTTCTCACGACTTTTAGAAATAGTGTTATTACTATGGGTAAAATTGTAAAATATACATTTCATTTATTGTTTTTTAAGGGCGTTAAAAATTCAAAGTGGACAACTAAAGTACACAGAGAGAGTAGTTGAGAAACTTTATTTATCTATTACTTTGAACTCTTCTATCTTCCATGTTGTTTGAAAATGATTGCTTGTAACCACCAAGGATGTGGTGTGATGGATGAGACTGCTCCTCCCTTAACCAGAAGTTTCGGGTTTGAGTCCTAGTTATGGAAAAATCTTTGGTAGAGAGTGCTTCCCCCCAAATGGGGCCATATACGGCGCGAATCCGGATATAATTGGACTCTAATACGGATACCGGACACCGGGTGGGAAACCCGAGAAAAATGATTGCTCGTAGATTCCAAAAAATCTCTTTGATAATGTGCTCATTATTTCTCTCACTTTTTTTTTCCTTTTTTCTTTTTTCTCTTTTTAGTGACGGTGGACAGGTGGAGGTTTGAGAAGAACCGAAGAAATTGATGTTTGACAAGATTTCTTGAATACAAAAGACAATAAAATGACATAACTTCTTTTTTTGCCTTTTTGAGGTCTGACATTAAGGGTTTCGATTAATTTAAACTTGCGCCACATAAATTTAATTTTAGGGAAAACTGAAATATCCAATTGTAATGAATGGCACAATTCTTTTTCACATTTAATTTGCAATGTATTAGTATCACAAGCATACACTGATAATACAAAAAGGTAGTCCATACCTAAAAAAAATTTGCGCAAAATGCAAAATTGACCCGTCGACCAAAATTAATTACATTCGTCAGTTCAAAAGTATATAAAATATATATACAATACACACACACATATATATTATCAATTATTATTTTTGGGAGCGATTAAAAATATATATTTCTCAACTACTTTTTAAGGATTTCTAGGGAAAAATAAAAGTGAATTATTGCATATATAATCCTAAAAAGTATCAAAAGATTCAAAACCCTATTATAGAAAATCACCTAGTTATCCAAAAAGGTACATGATTGGCTTAGTATACATTGTTTAATGATTCATTTAATAGTATTTACATTGATTATGACTAAACTAAAGAATGCCTATTACCCACAATGAGCTCATCTTTAAGGACGATTGACTAATAACAACTATTCTTATCAAGTAGTTATAATACCTAATATTATATTACTCGTTTACTCTCTTTTTTTAATTAGATAGCGAGGACCGAAAAAGATAGAATTGGATCCAAAATTTAAATTTAATGGGTTCAATTTTTTTAGGATTTTTAGCATTGCCTTTGTTGTATTGTTAAAATTATGGGTTCAAATCTAATATATGATGAAATTTAATAGGGGTTTATATATAAACTCATACTTCGGTATCAAAAATTATATATTCAATTGAATCGCAATCGAAAAGCTACGTCCGCCCTGGAAAAAGGGGTAGGGCAGTGAGAATCGAACTCAAGAATACTATGTGAAATATTCCCACATTTTCATAAATAGGCTACAATAGTTGGTAGCTTTCTCACTTAATCTTGGTATGAATATTTACTTAATTTTTTTTCGTAAATTAATAATAATACATAATTAGGTGTTATTAAGTGGTTTGGATAAGATTGAGTGTGTTAAAAATGGTTAAATAAAGTACGAGTCATAACCTTTTTTGTTTAACCATTTGATATTCGGAAATTACTGACTTGAGTAATTCGAATTCGCGCAGCATAGCACATTAAAATAAAAGTGCTTCTAATTTGAATTTTTTTGATTCTTCAGACTCGAACCCGAAATCTTTAGTTGTGGAGGGAGAAATCACATCCACGCCATATCTTTGGTGGTACGTGTCGTAACTCAGTTAGCCAACTGTTTTTTGGATTAACAATATGATAATCAGTGATTATCATCTAACGTTTTAAATAATCAAGCATTACATGTGAGGTTTACTTTATGAATTTGGGACCACAAATAGTTTATAAACACAATAAATACAGATGGCAAAAAAATAGTGAAAAGAGACAAGTAGCTGGTTTTAGGGAGACAGCCAGTGGAATTGATTTTTAAAAATAAAGATAAAGTTAAAGATGGAGATAAAATTAAAAGAAAAAAAAAGGAAGATAAAGTTAAAGATGAGAAATTAAAATAAAATAAGGTAAGGAATCCTACCACCTAAGATTAAAAACTAAAATTTAAATCGTGAAAGTCACTTCTACACTTGTCAAATTACTAATTGAACAAGTGTTTCCTATCAATATTTACTACTAGTATTAAAGATAATCTTCAAAAAAAATTGAAAAGTAAATAGTTAAACAACATTTTTTTTTTTGCTTTCTTTATTAGTTTGAGTATTTTTTTTCCTTCCCTCTTTTCTTTGAAGATTACTCAAATCTCCTTTGTGATATTGATATACATTTTTTTATATTGATAGTGTTTGATTAGTTTACAAGCACTTCAATTATTCAACTTATTCATCTATAAGTACAAGTTATTAAGATAATCCTGAGCGAATAAACTCACATAAAATATTATAATTATAATCTGTTATACAAAGACATATATTAATTTAGTCAACATATATATGACCGTACTAATTACATTTTACTTAATAAATTATTACATATAGTTAAAAAATATTTATGCGCGCAATATATATATATATATATATTCCAAATTCATTAACTTAAAAATCATAAATTTACATCTGTACAAATAATTAAAAACTAAATAAAGATCATGTATAAAAAACAAGCCTCATAAGAATCAAATATTGCACCCAATACAAAACTCATGGCACTCAATTTTTAAATGTGTACTAATTTCAAAATCAAGGGTTCTTATTTTTCCCCATTAAATCCAAGATTAATTAATTAATCAATTAATTACACAAGGATTTATTTACCTACTAGAAAAAACACAGCAGAAGATTTAGGAAAACAAAAGAAAGAACAAAGACTTTCTTTTGTTTTACATAAATATATTACTTTTTCTGACACAAAGTTTTACATAAATATTTTTTCATTTATCCTATCTGTATTTTTAAGAAGTAGATAAGGAACGTGATTCATCTTTTTCTCTCTCATTTTTATCCACTAAAACAAAAGGAGAGAATTTTCTGTTCACATTTTCTTGTCACCATCATCAGATGCACGTGTTACCTCATAAGGTAAAAATTCCTAATATTTATTATATTAAACTCATGTTCTAGTATTCAGTAAAATAAATAAATGTTTTTTTTAAGATTAGTTTTTTTTTTTTGCCTGGGCTGTTTATTTATACATTTATTTATGTGTTTGTAAGTTTATACTATTCAGTAAAAAATCCATTTCAAGATTAATTTTTTTTTTGGCCATGGTGTTTATATATACATTTAATTTAAGTGTGTGTGTGCGTTTTGTCCTTATATATGTTATAGAAACTGCTGATACCCATCTTCTCAGCTCCTTCAATTTTTTTCCTTTTTCTTTTTTTGGCCTAACACATCACTTTCCTTCACCTTTGTAAGAACCCCATCTCTCTGTTTCTCTGTTTTTTTCATAGCTCCTATGGTTTATATTGCAGAAATATTATATTGTATTTTAATGATATTTCAAGAATTGATTTTTATTTTGTGTTTCTGTTTTTAGCAGTTGGTGTTTACTTTTGGTGGTTTTTTTTGCAATTCAAGATTATTAATGGAAGAGGATGATAATTGTTTGTGATCTGGAGTTTTGTCTGTAATGCTGTTTGTTTCATTTTTTTTCTATTCACGTGCATATTCTTGATTCAATGATTTGTGGAGTCATGATCTTCTTGTTGATCAGTCTTTTTGATGTTTGTGAAGTGATCATTCATTGCTACTTATTTTGTTTGATTTCTGTGTTTCAAGAATTTCTGAACCTTGAATTATGAGTTTGAATAATTTCTGAATTTCAGAATTTGATTACTGGTTTTGTTGTGAGCCGAGGGTATACCGGAAACAGCCTCTCTACCTTCGTAAAGTAGGGGTAAGGTCTGGTCTCCATACACACTACCTCCCCAGACCCCATTTGTAGTATTTCATTGGGTTTATTATTGTTGTTGACTGCTGGTTTTGCTGATTCTTGGTTTTTGGTTTGGTGGTTTGGGGGGGGGGGGGGGGGGGGGGGGGGGGGGGGAGTAGAGGGGGTTTGCAAATGTCAAAGATCAATTTTTTTTGATTATGTAATGTTCAGTGAGTACATGTAGTACAGTTGTTTACTGAATTTTTGTTTTGCTTTAGTGTTTAACCAAAGTCAGAGTTTTGCCCCTTAACTTTTCTTCAGATTGTGTAATTGGAGAATCTGTGTTTTGTTTCATGCTGAATGAGCATTATGGAATTGTTAAGACTTTTTTAAAAAGAAAAAATTTATAATTTCAGTTGTCCAAATTGTAGCTGACTTGTTGCTTGCTATGTTATGATTTTGTGCAGTAGTGGCAGTGTTATCTTACATTTTCTAAAGAAGGATGGCTCTTTCTTGGGCTAATAAAGATGGAAGAGAAGTGAGGATTTATGAGTATTTGGATGAACTCAGCACAGATTTGGCAGATTATATTGCAGAATTATCAGAGGCTTCTGTGAAGGAGAGGGGTGTATTTGCTGTTGCTTTATCTGGTGGTTCCCTTATCAGCTTAATGGGGTATGTAAGTGTGTTGTATTTTACTTTTTCAAAATATTTTTGTTTCCCTTTATATATAAGGTATTGAATTGGTTTCCGAAATTCTTGGGAAAGCAGAAAATTATGTGAAGCTCCTTATAGCAAAACTGTTGATTGGGCAAAGTGGTATATATTTTGGGTGGACGAGCGTGTGGTTGCGAAAAATCATGCTGACAGTAATTACAAGCTAGCCAAAGATGGACTTTTGTCGAAGGTAGAAAACTCAAATTTTACTTGATCATCTTTGATCTACTGATTGTGGGATTGTTCATACGAACCTTAGTTGCAACTAGTGGTGGTAAAGTGGATAAAAAAATAGTTATCCATCCATATTATCCACTAAAAAATGGGTTGGATAATGAACTTTTTAAAAATTGGTCAAATATGGATAAGAACCATATTATCCACTTAGAAAATGGATAACCAATGTGTTTAATTTTTACATGACTCAAATTAGGGGTTTCTAAGTTTGAAAGTCTAGGTATTCTTCCAAAAGTGATCATATTCAAGAAGCCATGAATAATAATGGATATCCATATTATCCCGCAGCTAATCCGTATTCTATCCATATTAAATATAGGTCGGGTAGGATAATTAATCCGTTTTTGCACTACCCGTTCTTGACCCGTCCATATCCGATCCAACCAGCTCGTTTACCACCCCTAGTTGTAACAATGGCTCTCTCTGTTTTGCATTGCGATCCATGATTACATATACCCTTCTCAAGAAATCTTTAAGACAGACATCAAATGAAGTAGTTCTCTTTTGGGTTGATTCAGTTCATCATAAAGATACAATAATCTTTCAGCTTTAAAACACAGATACGGTGCATCTCAAATATGCAAGGGAAGCTCCAGGCTGTAGTAATTACTACTTTTTGGCTAACTGTCATGCTAAAGACCGGCTATAAACTTATATGTTATTGTTGATATTAGTTTTCATACCATGTCGCTTGTGTTCATCTTATATAGAAGTGAGGATTTTCTTTCTTCTTTCTTCCTTACTTTTTTTTCGGGG